TTGATAGAATTTCTGACAATTTAAAAATTCTAAACTGGTTGCCTATGCGTTACCTCTGGGAAATGCACCTTGTAAACTTTGTCCATCGCTTATTATTAACTGGTGAACCTTCTTATTCAAAAATACCTTATCGTCATATCTTGCACGCTGTTAATATAAGATCAGTTAAGAACTTAGCTATGCCAAGACACTATACTTCCATTTTCCAAAGGTCATTTTCCTATAATTCTGTTATCAAATATAACAAACTTGACAGTGAATTGAAAAAATTGAGCTGTACATCTTTTAAATATAAATTGAAACAATTATATTTAAGCGTATGGGCATACTTGTAAATCTAATTGGGCCAGATTAAAGATTAAAGGTTATATGATTTGTAAGACGGTTTTTGATATTTTTTTTTATTGTGAGGTTTAGGTTGATTGTGTGTTAAAACATTCTTATTTTGTATACATACTTTGTTTTTTTTTTGTAATTGATACATGTTTATAGGTTATGTGTAAGAGTAGCTCACAGCTAAACATCGCCTATTTACATGTTTTTCTTTAATAAAGGCGATTATTATTAATATTATATTTTCATAGAGATTTCATTATTACAACAAAAATGCTTACAACAGTTAAAAAGTAATGATGTGAACATTGTAGTATCTTGTTTTTCGAGACAATGCTGAAAAAATCCGTAGCAGTCCTGCTCTAGCAAGCGTTTGTGTATTTACATACGGCTTAAATGTTACATTCCAACAACGTACAAATTATGGTCTCATTCTTTATATCAGAACTGTAATAGAAAATTATAATAAATACCACTTCCAACGCAACATTGTTGGCTGTTTTTCAAGTGATAAACACATAATTGAGAAAAAAATAAACCTTAATTCATGCACATTTTTACAATTAATGTTCAACAAGCACGAAACCGTTGGGTAATATAGGCACACATTATTTCTTATCCACCCCTTCTTATTAACATTTTAACTAAGTACGCACACCAAACATAGACTTTTATTTTAATACCGCATAATTATCATACGAAAATTTCATAATTTCATTTCTCTAGACACTTTAATTATATGTTTCGTTATAAATAGAGCCGTTGTTTTTTTAATGATATATTATGACGAATTACCTATTATGTTATATTTATTTTTAGAGCTGAGAAAACTATTGCTGTATTGTTTCAGTTACATCACAGTAAAGAAACTAGAGCAACCAAAGATGCTCTTTTTATTTTCTAGAAAAAGTATACGGTCTGTCCTAACCCGTACATGTCACCTTATTTAAAGTTTATTAAGCCCAAATATAAAAGAGAAAGAACAAAGATAAAATCTTAAATAGGACTTACAGTAGCATAAACATTTACATTTTAATGGCATTTGATTTCTGGTGTATGTTACAAAAAAACAATTGCAGAATTAGAATGGCTAAAGTCGCGAAAATCTCCACCACAGTTTCCAAAATCGGCGAAAATTACCTAAGATGTTTGGTTAGCACTAACAAATTACTTTCAGAATCATAACCCTTCGGAGAAGGTCACCACCCATAAAAGAATGGTTTTCCAAAATCAAAACCGACCAGACCTGAACTGGACCACACACAAGAACCCCACCATGCGGAGCCAGCGTCGAGAGCGTTCGAATGTCAGCTCGAGGACCTTGCGGTTCAATAATTAGTGTCGGAATCTGGCCAGTACGCTGTTGTATGCTCCAAATATTCTCAAACTTTCATTCACATACAGGTTCTCTAAGGAGGCATCACATTCATAAACTGTAGTACCTTAGCCCAGTACGCCATAGGCGGCAATGATGATGATAAAGAGACAGAAAAGTACCAAACTCGATAGTGCTCAAAAAATCAACGATTCAGTTCAAAGCCTTAAAAGAAAATCAAAATAAGAATATATAAACTAAAGCATATCACAAGTATTAGTATGTCTTTAGGTACGCAAATAGAGCATGGATCATTATCGCAAAGCCAAGCAATCTAATCATGAATGGAGGAAGAGGTTGGTGCGAAGGTGAAGATATCCGAGCATCCTGTAAATCCCCTTGCAGGCGAGCAAGCAACTAACCTCTCAGCTCCCAGGAGCCGTTGTTCAATCCAATTCCTATATGAGGGTATATGATCTCCTTAGTATGCTGAGGGATAATGATGATAGGCAAACGACCAACCAAAAACCACAATAATGTTTTCGATTATTATTTGTAACGAATCTAAATACATAGTAAATACGCCTCTAAAACATTTACTTACAACTCTTTAAATGAAATCAAAAGATTACAAACATAAGAATCAAATTCAAATAAATAAAAACTATAGTGATGAATTGTAGGTACTGCTCTGTGTACTAGTCTTATACTTGTTTATACAGGGTGTGTATGAGCAAAACATTCAGGGGATAATTCTAGATCGAAAATAAATGCTACCTCTTTCTATAACATTTTTTCCAAAACTGATTATTAACGGAGTTACAGGGTGTTAAAGTTAAATATTTTATTTGCAGTTTTTTTGCAATACCTTTTGCCACACTCATAATATTTTGACGAAATTTCGTATATGGGGGTTTTTCGGGATGAGGATTATAAATTTGCCCACCGTTTTTACGCATTTTGTAGAGGGCGCCACATACGAGCTTTTATTTTGATTTGAATGGTTCCAACTTTTTTATGCTACACTTCATGCGAAATTTGACTGAATATTTTTGTTTTCCTAACCTTTTGACATAAAAAAGGTATACTTTATTTGTTTCGATAAATCTAACCGTTTTCGAGAAAAACGCTAAAATAACATTGCTTGCATGTGATGAATACGAAATCATTTTAATTTATTTCCTACATTAAACATATCATGCTTTGGAAACAAGCGCTTAGTTGCCTTGGAAACAAGTTTGTGGAGAATTAGTTTTGAGATAGTAATTTTGTACAAGTTCTCTTGCATTATTATTACGGTTTAGCTGCTGGCAATGCTCTTGCAGCACGACGTTTGTATCGCGAAGCATTTCCAAATAGAAACCTACCCCAATCGCGAATGTTCATTACTATTCATCGAAGACTGAGAGAATTTGGATCGTTCAAAACTAGAATTTTTGATGTAGGTCGACAACGGAACACTAGAACAGCAGAAGCTCGTATTTTGAATTCGATAGAGAATAATCCCAATGTAAGTATAAGAAAAATTGCTATTCAGGAGGGCATTCCAAAGAGCTCCGTACATGAAACAATATGCGAACAAAACCTTCATCCGTACCACTACCAAAGTGCAAGCCTTATCTGCCGTAGATCCTGCTGCTCGTGTGAATTTCTGCAATACAATTAGAATACTTCCTAATAGTGACCAAAATTTTGATCGTAATATCCTTTTCACGGACAAAGGAGTTGGATTTGGCCACGATGGCTTAATAAACCTCCACAATGAGCATTTTTGGACTGATGAGAATCCTAATTTATCAATAGAACGCGGTTATCAAAATAAGTTTTCCATCAACGTGTGGGCCGGTATTGTAGGGGACTACTTAATTAGGCCACATTTCTTTCCACAAAGACTCAATGGTGAAGTTTACTTGGATTTTTTAAGAAACCACTTACCTATTCTATTGGAAGATGTACCACTCGAATGAAGAAATGCAATGTGGCTGCTTCAAGATGGCGCGCCACCGCATTTTAGTTTAGCGACCAGAGAATTCTTAAATGAAACTTTTCCTGAAAGGTGGATAGGACGCGGTGGTTTTGTTCAGTGGGCCCCTAGATCCTCTGACTTAAACCCAATCGATTTATTTTTTTGGGGGCTATCTGAAGACGCTTGTATACAGGACACCTGTGAATAGCGTCGATGAACTGAGAGAAAGAATTGTTGCTAATTGTGAGGTAATTAAGCAAAAGGAAGGAATATTCCATAGAGTTCGTCGGAATTTTTTAAGAAGAATTAATTTATGCATTGAAGAGGAAGGACGTCACTTTGAACCTTTGATTTGAATGTTTAATTTGTATTTGTATTGTTCTAGTAACTTATGTATTTTAACCTTATGATTTTGTTAGTAAACCATTCTTTATTTGTTGAGGACGTTATTTTTTTATTATTTATCATTAACCACCATCAGCGTAACAACAAATTTTCACAAAAATTACTATCTGTCAAAACTAATTATCCACAAACTTGTTTCCAAGGCAACTAAGCGCTTGTTTCCAAAGCATGCTATGTTTAATGTAGAAAATAAATTAAAATGATTTCGTATTCATCACATGCAAGCAATGTTATTTTAGCGTTTTTCTCGAAAACGGTTAGATTTATCGAAACAAATAAAGTTTACCTTTTTTATGTCAAAAGGTTAGGAGAATAAAAATATTCAGTAAAAAGTCGCATAAAGTGTAGCACAAAAAAGTTGGAACCATTCAAATCAAAATAAAGGCTCGTATGTGGCGCCCTCTACAAAATGCGAAAAAACGGTGGGTAAATTTATAATCCTCATCCTGAAAAACCCCCATATACGAGACTTCGTCAAAATATTAAGAGTGTGGCAAAAGGTATTGCGAAAAAACTACAAATAAAATTTAACTTTAACACCCTGTAACTCCGTTAATAATCAGTTTTGGAAAAAATGTTATATAAAGAGGAAGCATTTATTTTCGGTCTAGAATTATCCCCTGAATTTTTTGGTCATCATTTCCGAACACCCTGTATATTTTCAATTTATTAATTAAACGTGCTGGTTGTGGTATAATAATATTAACCACAAGAACTTGCACAAATGTGTGGAACCGGCAACATTAATTTGAAAATTAGAATTATTTATCCTGCTATTGAAATTTCTGAATCTTTGCTTACCATGAAGCAGTAGAAAATATGCGAAATAGTGGAAACTTTGCTACAAATAAAAACACTGTGTTCCTGAATCATTTGGTCGGTTGAAATATAATAATTAGTGTTCCTAATTTATGACTAAATAGGAAAAACATATATGTAGTTCGACCATACGCATTTATACTGACCCTAGTAGATACTAACCTCTGGCTCTAGGTTTCGTCAAAAGCTTTTGCACTATGGTGTCATATGCAGATTCTCTAGCGACTCCCGAGTCCTTCACTAATTTTTCTTTAATGGCAATACAGATATTGTATTCAGCTAACAAGTCCTCCAGCTCTTCGAAAGCCTAGAACAAAAAATATGCAGTTATATTTTATGTCATGACCATAAGGAAAAGATAAGTTAGCAAACATTTCTATATTCTTAAGATATTAAGGAACATATAATACTATACATATTTGTAAAATTGTTATTCGGATCTATAGATATGAATGCATAATAAAACCGATTTATTACACTTGAAGAGTAGACTCCAGAACGTATTTCGTGCAATATTTCAAATTCTTAATTAAAAATGGGGCTACATCTATCTACATATAGCCGCATCATTTAAAAATAATTATTTCAATGTACATGATTAAAAGTGGTCCAAAACACTTTGTCATTCATACATTGCGCATGTGAAAATGTAGACATTCGTGATCCATATGCTGATGCTGAAGAGGACATGGAGCAATAAGTGTTGTGTTAATTTCAATGACGATGATGACGGTATTAACCTATAGCTTTACTTTTTCTTTGCCTTAAGTTTAGGTATCGTTTCTCTTAAAAGTAAAGCTTTGTTGCATTTGAAGACGTTTTCTGATTATTTAAAGTTTTTTTGGTCATTATATTTCCAAAGAATTTGCGTTGTCTATATCCTGAATAATCAATGCAAATTTAATGTCCATCGTCTTCAATAATAAAAAAGCCAATACAAAAATATTATATTATATTTTATTATTTCGGATAATATCTTTTTTATCTATTTCTTGACGGCATAGTCCTTGGTATTTGAATAGCGAATTTTCTCAATTTTAAAAATTTTAAAATTTGAACAAATGTGTTCCACATTTGAATTTGAGATGACGCTTGTTAAGACCACTACGTTCCTTGGAACTTTAAGTGACTGGAACCTTATGTAGTTATACCATCAGATTTTTAGTTCAATGGTAATACACTTTCTAATGCACTGTTTTATTTTCAACTGTAACTAGGGCATAGTATAGACAGATTAGAAGGGATGGTGTGTTAATTTACGAATGAAATCCGCCATTCATATTATTTGACTTTGATATTTTAACTGAAAATAGCACCACTTTTAAATGGGAGTGATTCACTCTATTGTTTCAGCCGACATTTGTATAAAAAATCAGTGATTATAAAAAATTATTGTAATAGTAGATAAGGTACTTAAAATATAAATCTAATTTTGTAATTTGATAATATAAGCAAAAAATAAGTCGTAATTTTTTAAACACTTACGATTCACGTATATAATTTAGAATATTTAGGCCCAGTACTTTGAGTCTCGGTTAAAGCTTGATTAACTGATCAGGCGATTAGACTGTACATATACTGATTTATTTTATAAAGTATAATCACAGTCTAATCGCCTGATTAGTTAATCAAGTCTTAACTGAGACTCAAAGTACCGGGCCTAAATAAAACTACATTTTACATCCTCACCGCTATTCTTACTGATTTATCTATACAGTGACAAATGTGTCTAAAGGAAAACTTTCAAGAATTTATACAAAATTGATTTGCGGACTTCTGCGGCAGTGGATGAACAGTTTGTCATACTGGTGGCTCAGTTTTTCTGAAAAATCGGTGACGAAGCCGGTCGACGCTATTTATGGTAAAAAATGAAAAATAAAGAAATTGCGAAAAATATCGTAAAATATGAAGAAATGATATACTTATAACACCTATCATGAAAGTTGTAGATTCTGAGAAGGTTTTTCACATCCCGTTAAAAATACAAGGTGTTCCATTTGAAAATAACAAATTTTTTGCCCTTGAAAAAGATATTTGTTACGATTTTGTGAACACTCTGTATGACATTTATGATCACTTCATAATTTACGGTGAACCTAGTACATTATGTGTGACGATTGCTTAGATTGTATTTCAAAAATCGAGTATATCAGCAACAATCAAGTGTAAGGCCGCAAATGTCATTTTTTATATTAAAATATTAATATCTCGGAAACGGCTAATTTATTGACACAGTACCTATTACGAAAAAGTTGCATAATTCCATGTAAAATATAAATATCCACTCAAATACAGGGTGTTATATTAAAAAAAAAACAACTTTGGTCAGCTCTCCGAAAACGAATAACTCTGTACAAGTCAAATTATTTTTAAAATGTGAATTTCTTGCCTCCCCCCACTCGAACCTATTTTGAAATATTTTGCTTCAATTATATGCATGTGATAAATCAACTTTGCCACAGCGTTGACTAACCTTGTATATCACGAAGCCATACTGTATAGAACACATTCAGTAGTTTATTATTAAGTAAATGGCAAAATTTGGGTGAGTTGCTATAAAGGAGATTGATTAATTGCCAGTGTTGAAAACGAAATTGATTAATTTTAAAAAGATAATATTTACCTTTGCACAGAATGGAAGGAAATTAAATGAGGAAGTCCTAAGAGACGTCTTAACTTAAATTAACGATAATCATGGCAAATAAAAACAAATCAATTTACATAATTGATGAATGTTATTTCAGTAGTTAATATTTTATAGACCAGGGACACCAGGGTCGATAATTTTTGAAACCAAATAAAATTATAGTAGGATGAAACCCATTGGAAAAGAAAGAGAATATAACAGAAATGAAAGGAAAAATAATTTACGGGCGATCTGACATCGGGAAGGGGAAGGGGGTGAGTTTTTAAGGGTAAAAAACGGTTTTCCTTGATTTCCGGAAAAACGACAAGTCTTATGGAAAAAAGTTAAATGGCAAAGTTGTAGGTAATAAAAAGATCTACAACTTTTGTATTTACACTTCTTTCACATAACCTCAAAATTTATGTGAAAAATTCAAATAACCAAGTTTTTAGTTTTTTATTTTTCTTTTACAAAAAAAAATTTTTTTTTTTACGAAATTTGGTGAAAACTTACCTATTTATGTCCCAAACACGCTGTAATTTTTTTGATTTGAAATATTTATTTGTTCACCCTATCTTTACTTAATATCGAAAAAGCACCCTAATTTTCAATCTAAAATATCTGCTTTTTTAAAAACGCTGGTGGGCTTTTTCTTCGTTGTAATCTCTACTTTGTGATGGTGTAAAAAAATATACATTACTATGGTAAGTTTTCTCAGAAAATGCAAAGAAACGAAAAAAAACTAGAATCCGAAATTTTTTTTCTAATCATTATGTACAATTTTGTGCTATTTATTAAAATTTACACTTTAATTACTCGAAAAACCTAAGTTTCCATGTTACATTGATAAACAAAAAAAATTACAAAACGAAATATACTATTATAATTAACAACCAAATAAGTTTATAAAGTTAATATCTAATAAGACATCTACAATATTTTGAGAAAGTTGTAGAATCTTCTTTAAATTATATAAGTAGATGTCTATTTATTGCTATTTTAAGATAACTTATATACCTGAGTGACCTACGGAAATAATATTGGAGACGAAGACGGTGATTGTCTTGAAGATTTCGAAGACCTACTAGAATCGGGAAGGTTTGTCGAATCTCACGATGAAGAAATGGCATCAAAGAGACAAAAACTAATGGATAAGTGATTAGAATTCAAGATAAGATATTTATAAATAACAAGATTAATGTTTTTAAAAATATTATAATGAATAACGTAATCATTATAAAGTATCTAAATTCAATAGTACGATTTACATGTATATTTATATATTATGAGATTTTCTATGACATAAATGTAATTAGAATTTAATAAATCAACTTTT